CCTCAGATAGTCAAAGCAACCCTGAGCACTAAGAGCAATGCTGGGGGGATTACTATACCAGATTTTAAGCTGTATTACAGAGCTATAGCCATAAGAAAACATAGTACTGGCACAAAAATAGACCCATAGATCAATGGAACAACACTGAAGACCCAAATATGAGTAAATGCAATTTCAGCCACCTGATATTTGACAAAGGAGCCAAGAACATTCATGAATTCACATTCATGTTCAGCAAATGGTGCTGGTAAAACCGGATCTCCACCTGCAGAAGAATGAAACCAAACCCCTATCTTTCACACAAAAGTCAGTTCCAAATGGATCAAAGAACTCAATGTGAAGCCTGAAACTCTGAAACTGTTAGAAGAAAACATTGGGAAAACCTACAAGATATAGGTGTAGGAAAGGATTTTCTAAACCAAACTACAATTGCTCAGAAAACAGGTTCAAGAATCAACAAATGGGACCTTATTAAACTAAAAAGCTTCTGTACATCAAAGGAGGCAACCAGGGAAGTGAAGAGAAATAACACAGAATGGGACACAGTCTTTACAAGTGACACATCTGATGGAGGTTTAACATCCAGAATATATAAGGAACTCAAAAAATAGAGAATTAAGACAGGAAGTAACCCAATTAAAAGATGGCCTAAGGACCTGAACAGAGAGTTCTCAAAAGAAGAAGTAAATATGGCTAAGAAGCATCTTAAAAGATGTTCAATATTACTGGTAAGTAGGGAAATGCAAATTAAAACCACTTTAAGATTTCATCTTACCCCAGTCAGACTGGATAAGATCAAAAGAACAAATGATACCAAACATTGGTGAGGATGTGGGAAAAGGGGAACACTCATCTACTGCTCGTGGAGTTGCAAACTGGTTCAACCCCTATGGAAAGCAGTGTGGAGAACTCTTAAAAAACTACAAATGAACTTACCATTTGACCCAGTTATACCACTCTTATGCATATACACAAAGAACCCATCCTATTGCAGAGACACTTGTACAACCATGTTTGTTGCTGCTCTTTTCACAACCACTAAGAGATGGAAGCAGCCTAAGTGTTCCTAAATAGATGAGTGGATAATGAAAATGTGGTTCATTTATACGATTGAGTTTTACTCAGCAATAGAGAAAGATGAAATCATGAAATTTGCAGTTAAATGGATGGAACTAGAAACTGTTATACTAAATGAAGTAACACAGACTCAGAAAAAAAAATCGACATATGTTCTCCCCATATGTGGGTCATGTGTGGATCCTAGAACCAGACTCTGATAAAATAAGTATGCAACCAGGCATAACTACAGAAACCAGGATAATGGAAAGGAAACAGGGAGGTAAAGGAAAAGAAAGAACCTGAAAGAGACGAACAGTAGGAAACAGGCCTTAATAAGGGAGATATGGATAAAAATTGGGATAGTTTAAGGGAGGGGTGAGGGAAGGGTATACAAGGAACCTAGGGGATAAATGGAAAGAAGGAGCTCAAGAGAGGTGGGACCATAGGAGAAGGGTATTATTAAGGGAGAAAGAGGAAAAATGGGGGCACCTTAATTTGGGAAACCATGATGGAGGGGTTAGACAATGAGAGAGATAAATAATGCCTAGCGAGTTTTAAAAACCAGAGGGAATCATATTCGTCCAACAACCTACTGACTAATTATACATACCAGATCAAGATATATATGTCTAGGCAAGGTTTATCTGAGAACAATTGGTCTTTGCCCAAGATTTTTCTACATGGCACACAGGAATTAAAAGAACGAGACTGGTAGAACTAAACTGCTTAGACGTTTAGCAGACATTCTTTGAGGCCTATAATAATTTGGTCAGAGGGACATAAAGGACAGTTTTTGCTCTTTGCCCTCCTTGGTTGACTAGTTTCAGGGGACTATGAGAATCTCTCAAAATGTCCTGAAATTGTGGTGGGTCACCTGTCCTCTTGATCAAGGAGGCTGAGGAGACCCCACGAGATAGACTTGAACCAGTGTCCAGTCTACAAATAGGAATAAGAGGGTCAACATAGAGAAATCATTTCCTCCATCCTTCCAAGCAAAACCAGCCATGGTCGAGCAGGATCTTTGATTTATCTTCACATAGGCAGAACTGGTAAAAGAAAGGAGCCAGGGGCTCCTCCCAAGCCTATGTGACCCCAGAGGAACAGATTCTCAAACGTCCTTAGGAATAAAAATAAATTGCTTTATCTGGACCAACTCTATGGCCTTAAACACCCAAAAGGAAAGTATAACCGAAGACTAAAGGTACCAATATAATTTTTAAAGAGTCCCTATGTATAGCTAAGGCTATATAACAAGCAACAATGCCAGATAGGAGATACCTTCATTTGAGTTGTTGGCCAGGGTGGCCCAAGGGACTCCCAGATAGTAACCAGACTAGAACTGGGAAAATGAGCAGCATACCCCAATCTTATCTAAAGGAATTGACAACAGATTGCTGCTAGATGAGGAACAGCTCACCTTTCTAAAACAAAGACCTCTAGATAGGCTGACTAGTTTCACCAGATGAACAAGTAGTGGGGAACGACTGGGGATTTTGACAACACAGCAGAAAGTAGCAGGGATAACAGAATATAAGGGCTCCAGTGGGGGTAGGGAGGCCATGGGACAGTGCCACCTGGGAATTGGGTGTATAGTTGAATAAGATGGTTTGGGATGTTCTGTGTGATATATACAGACACAGACACAAACACACACAAAAATCAACAAATTTTAAAAATGAATTATATTTGAGGAGGAAGCATATAAAGTTCCATCATTTTAATTAGTAGAGGTGATAAACATTACCATTGATATCTACCCAATGATTTTATAGACATACACAGGTGCCAAGGATCTGAGTGCAACTGATTATGACTAGTAATAATCAGATACATATAGATGAAAGACGTATGCTCCAACATTTCAGTGTTATTAGCAAAAACAATGAGTCTTTCTGTAAGAAACAGTATATTTTAGAATGAAATGGAGATTTTTTTAAGGTTAAAAACTCATTCAATTTTATTTCTTACAGGGATTATATTGAGTTCAATACTGTATTAATTCAACAGCAAAACTATAAATTTTATAGCCACTTTTGAAAGAGATGTATCTTTGCTCTGGAAACTATTATTGAGTATGTTAAAGCTGTAATGAAATGCTTCTTCTAAAAAAGTTTTTTAAAAATTAAAAAAATTTCCCTTATTTATTCTTATATCCCTCATTCACAGTAGTGAATCATCATAAAGTGGTCCATTATATAATATCTATAACGTCATGAGTAACTGAAAACCTGAAGGTATAGGAAGGCAGAAAGAAAATAAAATATCATTAAACTAGTTGAGGTACAAGGATAGGATATCATGGAATCTGGGATTGTGAAACATCTAAGTCAAAACTATTTTAAATGTTTTTATGTTTCAAACACAGAATATGTAAATTCAAATTAAAGTGTTAATGCGATAAATTTCCTGTCAGCATGATTTCATGAATGGATGATATCAATGGGAAATAAATCGCACCATTTGCATGCAAACACAATGTTAAATTATTTGGAAATGACATTTTTCTTTTCAATTAACATGCTTTTGGAAAAATACATTTATACTCACAAGATTTCTCTACAAAAATGCTAAATTCAAGCAAAGCAGTTGAAAACTTGCAAAACCTACATTCGTGCTATCTTCTCATAGACTACATATGAAATCCCAAGTTACATACTCTTCTTTTGAAAATAGTAAAAGTGGTCAGAGTAAGACATACACAACTCTAAGCTAAGCAGATCTGTTCAGTCTCACATCAGGTAAAAACATGATGTAGGACAGAAACAATGACTGGAGAATAATCTTCTGTACTTAGAAACTGGTTTCTGAATTCTTGTTTTATACTTTATACAAAATAAGAGTCTGTTTAAAAGTGGTCATAAGAATGAAATATGAATATTATATTTTATAATTTAGAAATGTTGGTGTAATAATAGTGACTATTCATACCATATATGTTATAATTACTCTTTTAAGTCTTTATATTCAAACACCTTCATAATTTTGAGTCACTGTGTTTGGATATTAGGACCCTAGCATAAAGTACAAACCAAGTCATAAATATAATTTCTAAATGTCATTTTAAGTATCACTCAGCAAGGGAATAAAACCTAACTAATACAATAAAGAAAAATGTAAAAGAACATTAATGCTCCATTACTAAAGAACTACACAAATTGAAGTTTACCTCAAAGAATGAATTTTTTCTTTTCATTTTAATGTATATTTATATTTAATGATATCAATACAATATGATTGTAATGGCCATCCAGAAACATCTGGAGGAAAAGATCAAAGTCACTTCCTAGGCAGTATTGGAAAGATATGAGAACATCAGATTTATACCAAGTTAAAGTTAAAGCCATACAAACAAAACAACACAAGAAGTAAGTATTCTATTTTACAGCAGGACGTCAAGTGAAATCAATGTTTTTTCATTCACTTGAAATCATTTTTTGTCCTTCTCCCTAGCTTCCCTATCAGCCTCTCTTCACAAGTAAAAAACACACAATAACAGGAGGAAAGCAGACCAGTAAGATGCCATTGGACTTATCTCTGATTATTTCATGTGTTAGACAGGCAAGGTTCTGATTCTGGGACTAAGTATCAGGATGGGGTGAGGAAAAAAGTATTTTGGAGAGAAATATTTGGAAACACTTGCCTTGAGTAGAACTGGCAGGAGCCTCCATGTCACAGCAAACAGGAGAGAACTTAAAACCTGTAATAGCAAACATTTTGCTAATTAATATTTGTCCAATTTGTCTGACATTACTTAAATTTCAACATGAAACTTTCATTAAATGATCTAAAAAAATAACAGCTTTATTGAAACACAGTCCAGATACCATGATATTCTTCTGATGAAGCATACAGTAGTGCTTATTATTTTCAGAACTGTGGAAACGTCAATGCTACCCAGCTCTACAATTTTATCATCCGCAAAGAAACCTTCTGTTGAAATTCGTGTAGTTGTAGAGGATGTGTAACTCCAGTAAGCAAACTTATTTCTTGCATATATGTTTCAACTAAGTGAACTTCCTGGAAATTTTCATGTGAGTGAAGGGTGACGTGATGGAGTATAAGATGTAATACAGAATATCACTTGTCACTCCATTTCATATAATGTGTCTTTGGTTTACCTTGATTGACAGATGAAAAGAAGACTACTCTGATGACCAATTCTAGGTCTTTTAATTTTTATATTAATATTCTTTCATTTAGCATATATTATATGGATTCTGTTTATATTTTACCTCCTATATTCTTAGTCAGGTCAGTAATGTATATATTTGTGAATATAATTTTAAAATGTCAAGAGGATATGTGATGAAATTACATCTCCTGATTACACAGGAGATGGTAGCCCATGTAATGAGCAACCACTTATGCCTATAACTGTAACTATCATTTTTAATATAAATTATCATTATAACCAGTATCTCCTTTGGGATTAAGGAAGAAGAGGACACAGTAAAAAATTACTAGTATAGTCGCAATGAGTATCTCTTTTCCAACTGAGAAAAAGTGAATTAGTCACTGCTAACAAATACTGAAGTCATGGTTGTGGAATCCTATGATCTTTTTTGTGTTTTGTTTTGTTTTGTTCTGTTTGTTTTGGTTTTTTTTTTTGAGACAGGGTCTTCTACAACTGGCCTGGAGCTACGTATGTAGACCAAGCTGGCCTCGATTTCACAGTTAAACCCCTGCCTCCACCTCCAGAGTTCTAGGATTAAAGGCATGTACTAACATGAATGGCCCAATGAAATCTTTTGTAAAGTTTCCACTACTATTTTTTTTACTGTTTTAAAATTTCTTACAAGTGTATATTGTATGCAGAAAATAATCCCCCTTGCTCTGTTACCCACTACCAACCACTTTCTTATCTCTCCAATTTATTCCCTTTGTTTCTCTAGAAAATTTCACTTCTATTTTCATATCATGGGCATACATGATTTTACATGATTATATAAAATCTAGAAACCAAAAAGTGAAAGAAAACATATGTTTGTCTTTCATGTACCGGTTTAATTTATATCATGTGCTGACATGGATCTGGTCAATGAGAATACCTATGACATTTTTACAAAGAAAATGAGGGAAAGACTATGTTAATTTAATTAATAATCACTTAATTTGCCTATTATAAAATAGCTACTATTGTTAGAGATGAAATAGCATAAATATATTAACCCTATCCTCCAAAATTAAAAGGGTAAAGCAGTCCTTTTTCTAAAATTTATAAGGAAATAATATATAAGCACAACACAGTGATATTGTTGTTAGTACTTCCGATCTGGGAAATGACTACTGTTTTAAAAATAATTCTGTACTTAAAATAATTTCAGTCACATATGGTTATTGTGAATCTGTTTATACATTCAGCAGGCTAATCTGGATCAAAATAGAGAGCCCCTGCCCATGGTATTATGCTATATACTTTTTCATCTCATTGTTCATACACGGATACAAAGTCAAAATTCATGAAATGAGTGCTTCCTGTAATAAATCCCATGGGTATTGCAGTGTAAAATAAAAATGAAAATATAAGGTGAGTAATGAATAAGACATGCACAGTATTGCCGACTACATGAGATCATTTCTCTTGGACATTCTTCAGAAATGAAGAATATTTTGTGTCATTGTAAATAAGAGTATCTATTTGCCAGATATTTAATCACAGGCCTCATCCATGGAAACTTGCTAACTTGTATTTCTATTCTGCATGTTAAATGAAAGAAGGGAAGGCATAGAAAATTAAAACAAAGCAAAGAGGCAAAGCCATTATCTGTGAGTTTAATTTCAACTGTAGATGTAGTTTTATTACCATTTTCCCCATCAGACTTCCGTTCATGGTCAGTGTCAGTCAAGGACAATGCAGAGTTGGCCCTGCTGGATAGACAGGAACTGTGTTCTGACTTCATTCCCCTTATCCACATTCTCAGTGCATGGTCAGGTGACACAGCACCTTCTGTCTCTGTGTCCACATCAGATCCGATTTCCAGCTGGTAGCCATGCCGAGAAACACTGCGCATGTCTGTCTGGTAGCCAGAGCACAGAGTAGGGGGAGCTTCACAAAATTCCATCTCTGAAAAAAAGTTCAAACAAGACGGTTTAGAAGTATGAACAAAATCAGTAACTTCCACTTTTTTGTTCTCATGTCTCTCCTTTCCCATTGCTAGTAGCTGTAAGTTTTTGCAAAGTTAGAATTCTGCTTTCCAATTTATGGTAGCTAGAATTCCTTGCTTATTTTTTACTTCCATATCTTTAAATTATGCTTTTGTTGATTCTTACAAGGTTCTGGAAAAAAGCATGCTGAAAATAGCCTATAGCTACATTATTTTGGTGCACAAAATATAATGAAAAGAGTACAGTTACCACAAAGTGTAGAGAGCTGTACTCTAGTTTCATTTCTAGAAAGAATACATGTGTTCTATACAGCACACTTATGCTTAAATTGTAAAATTATTTGTTTTAATAAGTACGTCACACATATAAGAGCAAATAAGTAAATATGAAATCTGAGAAAAAACATTAAACTCAAATATATTTTTCTGAAGTATGTTTTCTAAAATAGGTAACACTCTAAATATGAGTACCTAATATCATTATCCACTATCTCCAAAAATGTTTAAGGTCTACTTGTTTGTCAATTATTCTTTTTTTTTCTTTTCTGAAGCTCGAGTGCAATTTTACTGGCATTTAAAAGGCAAACCCCATGGCAGGCAGGCTGTAAATCCCAGCAACTGCTAGGAGGAGCAGAGTGGAAGCCACAGCATTTTAGTTAAGTGGGGAATGAGGGTCAACCACAGAGCAGGTACAGGGCAGGAAGAGAACGTTTAGAGAAGGAGTAAGGAAGCCCAAAGTGTTAGGGAAAGCAAGGATGGTATAGACAGAGAAAGGAGAAAAGGAAAGGTACCATTTTGGTGTAATTTAGGAAAGTGGACTGACTTATCAAACTTCACTACTGCAGTTTTAGAAGCAATTGTGCTGGGACAGGGTATTCTCAGAAGAGGTGTTTATCTCTTTCAAGGGATAACTATTTACTTTTTTAAAAAACAAAAACATACAAAATAGATATGTCCCATAGCAGAACTTCATGATTTTGATTTCCTCCCTTTCCTCAAAATCTTTGAATGTAATATGTTTAGAATCTTAATCATGATGCAATAAATCACCTGATTCAGCCCATTAGCTTACAGCAGACAGCTGCTCTGTGCCCCTTTTTAAAATACCTGTCATGGCATCATTTCTGCTAGCCACCAGTGAAGCCCCAACAACTGACAGCATGAATATCTGGCATTCAGTCTTATACTCAGTTCATATTCAATTATAGCAAGATGTCAAAAAACGGGAGAAAGATGCTTTAACAGTCCCTAATAAGTTGATGAAAAATGACCACACGCCAAGACATATCATATGAAATGTCCATGTAATACTTAGATAAGGTAATCTGGGGGTATCGTACACTATATAGGGTTTTTCTCAGACTGACATCAGAGACAGAGCATGCCATTTTGCCTGTTAAAATCTCAACTGAGTGCATCTAATCTGTAGCACATATAAGAAAATGTAAACTTTAACATAAATTTAATTATTTAAGTATAGAAAGTGATGGTATTATATCATATACTACAGAAAATACAGAATATGACTTCGTTTGTTATAGTAACTATTTCTGTGATGCAAAATAAAGGTTTTAGAAGTCAATTCTTAATATTTATTTAACAGTAATTTTTCTGTTAGCATGATGCTTTCTGAACAAGATAGTGAAGATAAATCAATCTACTGTAATGATTAGAAAAATTAAATTAACAATGAACCCTTTCAGAATTAAAAGTCACTGTTCATTAATACCTTTAAGAGTAATTCTATTTTTCTACTAGAAAATATTTAATTTTCAAAGAAATAATGTTTCAATAATATGTACTTTATTCACCTATCAACCACCAAACCTTACTAAATCATTCTTTTTTTGTCATAATGCTAAATATAAAAGTCTGCTTTGCTCAATATAAATCTTAGAATTTGGGTTCCGTTAAGGTTCATGTTTCTTATCTTCCCAATGTCTCATCACCCAGTAATATATTGGTGCTCTTGTTACAGTCACCTGGTAATGAACTATCAGCTCACGACAGTAAGCAAAGAATTTTATGTAGTCCTATAATCACAATTCTTTTTATTCACCAGTGTCACCTGTTCTCAAATTCAACTGCTTCAGAATCACCTGGAAGGCCTGTAAAACGTACATTCTGTACTTCGCTCTCACCTCCACCCTGTGATCTGGGTCTAATTTCTAATACAGCTGCTATGCCTTTGGACCTGACAATTTACCTTTCTAATGATTTTCCATGTCAGGCCTATTACTCCTGGTAGGAAACACACTTTGAAAATGGTCCTAGAGCTTTCTCCAAAGGCAATGGGAAAGGAGAAGCAGCCGAGGAAGAACATTATTGTGGCTCCCCCAGATTTTGCCATGCCAACTAGAATTCTCTTTGGAAAACAGAAGAAAGAAAATATTGACTCTGAATGGTTGTAGAGTATCTCCATTTATTTTCCATGGATTCAGGGAACTAATTATGAAATTTAGTTCCTGATACATTGACTTCCATTTAGATTCACTAAGATGATGTCACATTAGATGGGACTTTCAAAAGATTTTTAATATGAACATCTGAATCATGACAGTTGCAGTTAAAGGATGAGCAAATGAAAGTAAATAGGTGATTATATGTCATTCTGGAGTAATAAAACATTAAGATAAGATGTTTTTAAATAACACTGACAGATGTAGTCAGATTCTCCTTTTGTTAAAAATATGTGTTTTTTTCTATTCAAAAGAAAATTTGAGCATTGACTTGCTCACTATAAGGAAATATGGGATAGTACCCCAAATTGCAAAGGATAACCAATTAATGTTTTGATGAATTTGTGTTTTGAAAATACAGACCAAATTATAAGTATACTAAAGAAGAATAGCTACCTAACTGTATTTTTTTCATCAGTCTATATTCAGAAATGAAACAATCTAACAAGCTATCCATTATTCTTTTCTTGACATGGGGAACGAGAGGGAGATGGAGACAGAAATGGAGAGGGAGAGGAAGAGGGAGAGAGACAGAGGTTTTACTTATCCCATAAGTGATGTTTACTGAACTGCCTTATTTCTCTTTCTTGAAATCATTGTGAAATATTTTCTTAAATACACAAAATTCTGTGTTCTGTTTAAAATTCCCATAGGATGCATTATCTAATAAGCACTTACAATGCATCTTTACTGGTTGGATTTTTTAACTTTGCACATATAACCTTGCTGCCTAAAATGCTATATATGCCTCAGAGAAGATAACATTCAACTGGGTTTATTATATCACTGTTCTTACCAAAAAGCTATCCACAAGAGAAATGAATGTATAATCTTAGACTTCCTAATGTTTAAATGGATATAATAGTAATATTTTAAGAATAAACTGGTATGGATGTGGTCAAATAAGTGTATCTGCAACCTCATAAATATATTTCTTACTTTATTCTAAAGAAAAATGCATTTTAAAGTCATCCAAATGACTAAATATGAGAGATTAAACGAGTTGAAATTCAATTTTTTTTGGTCTTTTTGAGACAGGGTCTCCCTGTAGCCCCAGCTGTCCTGGAACTTACTATGTATATAATGGATAATATGTTTGAGGAGACAACTTGTAATAAATAATGTAAGAATGACCAACAAGCAAAAGAAATGAAGTTTACCACAATAAGCTATCAGAAGAAAAGCAAGCTAAAGTCACAACATATTCTAGTCACATGCATACATACTAGAATGGATTAAAAACAAAACAAAGCAACAACAACCAAAAAAACAAAAACAAAAACTTACCAGACCAAGTGCTGATAAGAATATGGAACAATTGTGTAAGTCTTACATGGTGATGAAAAGTAAAAGATTTGTCACTTTGGAAAAAAAGTTTAACAGCTTCCTATAAGGTTAGATGTATACTTAGCAGGAGAGCAATTGCACTCTCATACATTAATCACAATGAAATTAAAATGTTGGCTCACAGAAACATTTGTAGAAATTTGTTAACCACGTCTTTAATTGTAATAGTTAAAAAGAAGAAAGGCTCCAACTATGTATACAGGTGAATCGATAAAAGAACTGACGTATATATTTAGACAGTAAAATATTAGTAACTTCTAGTAAAGGAAGGAATTGTTGATGCACAAATAACATGGATGGCTGCCAAAATAAGTGCAATGACTAAAAGAGGACAGTCAAAACATCTACATGCTGTGATTTCATTTATATTAAAGTCTACAAATGCAAAGAAATATGCAGGGAATGGTTCCTAAGTGATGAGAAATGGAAAAACGAAAATCAAAACAACATGAGGAAAGCTTTGGGGGTGATATGAAGACACGCATACATTGCTTTGTGTTGATGTGATAAATGCCATGACTACAGCTAACTAAAGGAGAAGGGGTGACTTTGGTTTGTGCTTCCAGGTTACAGTCCATCACTGAAGGAAGTCAGAACAGGAACTCAAGGCAGGAACCTGAAGCAGAAGCTATGGCAGAATGCTGCTTACTGGCTTGTTCACTCTGGCTTGTACTCGGTCAAATTTCATATTTAACCCAGGGCCACATGCCTAAGGGTGGCATCATATGCCGTGGGCTCGGACCTCCTAAATCAATCATTAATGAAGACAATTACCCATAGACATGACCACAGGTCAGTCTGATCTGGGAAATCCTTCAATTGAGACTCCAACTTTCCAAGTCACTATTGGTTATGCCACAATGATCATAAAAACTGCCTAGGACAAATGCCTATTGTCTTTATTATGCCAATAGTTTCACAGAGTGAAAGTATAGTTGAACCAATGTAGTTTTATTGTATTTCCACTATACTTCTATATAATTTGGGGGGGGGCTCATATATCACCAGTCATGGAAACACCGAGGAGGTGTTGACTCAATTCAACTTCACAGGAAGAGCCAGGTCCCCAAGTTGGAATTTGGCATTTCTAAGTCACATTATGACAATGATTACAAAAGAAATAGCTTGACTCAGCATTCATAATGTCAAGAACA